TATATATATATGTAATTTTTACAAATCTGTCAAATGAGGGAGGTGATGACACCATTGAAATGTTGCAGCTGTCTGATGTGGACCTGAGCAGCCCTTACCTTCTGAGAAAAACCCAACGTGACTCACTGGGAAATCTTGTACATGTGTAGCTACACACAAGATTTAAATCCAAAAATATGTGTACTTAACAGCTTCAATGAAAACACTTGTAGTTTCTCTTAAAATCCACTAGATGGCAGAGTAGTAGAGGCTTCAAATGCTCAGTTTGATTTACAGTTTTTTTTTTACAATTGCTGAAACACAATTTTGCAAACTAGTGTGGTTTTATCAAAAATACTAACCACAATTCACAAAACCACACACCCAAACTGCAAAATACCTCCTGTAGCCTGCAAAATGAAGCACTGCAACCAATAGCATTGTCAAAATCCAACTTTTGCACCAAGAGGYACACACGTCATGCATATTACCAGCTTTTGTCTAACCAACTGCACACTGTTGGGCATAATGTAAAGCACTCTCATCTCTAATATGCTTGCCATAATACTAGAATAGTTCAAATTGTATGACATCAGCCATTCATGAAGTAAACAAGTGTCACCGAGCTGAAACACCATGACATGGGTGTRCTACATCGTGTGAAATAAATTTTGGTTACACATCTGCTCCAGTCTAAATGTCCAAATGACAGCAGCAACAGTAAAACGGCTCAGGCTGGGCTGCTCTCAGTCCAGCTGCCTGTCAGCCAGTGGTTGATGACTTGATCAACTAAGGTTGATTTCATTCTTTATCCATGAACTCCTCTACCAGCTCCTCTACCTCTCACTCTTACTCCCCCTCTCATTCTCACCCCCGTCTTCCTCTCTCTGCCACGTCTTCCATTGTTGTTGTAAGAGATCTTTTAATAGTGCTCCTGACTGGAGTGTTAACCATTAGGCATTCAGGTGTTTATTCAGGTACAACATATTTTGTCCCATCAGCTCATATATTGTCAATCTGAATGGCAGTGTTTTGAAATGTCAAACATGTGACTTTATGTCAGATTGTTTTATGTCTTATGCAGAAAGCCGTGTTCAACTCATTTAAAAAGTGTCATTTTGAATAGAAAAATGTGTGTAAAGCAGAAAATGTGTTTTGACTTTTGGAGACTTGAGAAGAGGTTTTTCTCTTTGTGTGTCAGTTAAACTAATTKTGCTATGGATGTCATTTTAGTGTTTCAGCAAATGTAAAAAAAAAACTGTAAAAAAACGAGGAAAAAAAATCAGACAAATGTGAATAAAATTTGACAGTCTTACAGGC